AAGAAGAGAAGGAGAAGAAGAGAAAGAAGGTGGAGGGGGAGAAGGAGAGGAAGAGGAAAAGGAAGGAGGAGGAGAGGAGAAGGATGAGGATGGGAAGGAGGAGGGGGTGGAGGAGGAGAGGAGGAGGATGGGGAGGCGGCGGCTAGGAGACCACGGTGCGAGCCTGCAGCGCCAGCGCGTGGGGAGGCCGGCGCAGCGGGGCGGGATTCCAGCTTGCGCTGAGTGAGGAGACCGGGCCGCCAGCAAGCCGAGCCCGACCCAGAGGCCTGGGCCCCGGGGTGGCCATCTGTGGCGGGCTCGCGCTCCGGCAGGGGGCGCAGCGGGAAGCGCTGAGGCGGCTCGGCGACCCGCAGGAGGGGCGCGCGCTGTGCGCCCGGCCTGGGGCGCCCGGCCCGTCCAGTCCCCGTGCAGCGCGCAGCGCCCGCGGCCCGGGGAGCAGGGAGGGGCAGGGACCCCGGGCGCACTTACTGGTCTCCACCGCGCCCACGGCCTCGGTGCACACGGCCACGCCCGGGCCGCACCGGACGGTCCTCATCTTGTGCGCGGCGCACCCGTCGTCCGCCCTCTGCACGCAGCTGTAGCACTCCAGGGCGCGCGCGCCTGCGGGTGCGCGGGGACACGGCGAGCGCGCTCGTCACACGCTTTCCCGGCGGCCTCTCCCCGGGCGAGCGAGCGGCGGGAGAAGCCTCCGCCCGGGTCCGCGGCGGGGCACGCGCCCCCTCCTCCCCCGCCGGGACCCCGGGCCAGGGTCGGGGCGCGCCTGTCCTCCCGCGCCGGGACCCCGGGCCAGGGTCGGGGCGCCCCTGTCCCCCCCCGCCGGGACCCCGGGCCAGGGTGGGGCGCCCTTCTCGCAGCCTCGCCAGGCAGGAGCGCGGCCGCCCGTGGCTCCGGCTGGCCTCTCCTCTCTGTGCGGGGCTGGATGTCTCCCTCCGCGCAGCGCACCCACCTTCGCAGAGCAGCAGCAGCAGCAGCAGCCCCTGGGCGCCCCACGCCGCCGTCCGCGAACCCCCTCTCCTGGGAGCATCCATGGCTGCGCGCGTCCTGCTCGCTCCGCGTCCCCCTGGGTGTGCCACCCTCCAGCCCGGGCCCTCTTACCTGAGCCCCGATGAGTAAGCCACCCTGGGGCAACGCTGGCCTTGCCCAACCAGGCCGAGTCAGCGTCCGCGTGGGGCGGGCCTCAGTGCGTCACCCGCAGCGAGAGCGCCCCTGCCCTGGCCCTGCCAGCGAAAGGGCGTGAGGGAGCTTTCCTCCAAGGCCCTGCATGAAGTGTGCGTGGGTTTTGGAGAGAGAGAGAGAGCAGCGGGGCTCAGAGAGACAGCGGCATTCGGGAAGGGCTCCCGTCCCGGAGCTGCACCCCCCTGCCGTGGTGCGGGGATTGGGGACACTGAGGCAGAGCCACCGTCTGTCCGGACGGAGCTGAGGCTGATGGCAGATGCAGATATAAGCTAAATAACCGGGCAAACCGTTATTTACAAGTCTGGTGTGTTGACTCATGAGTGTGGTCACAGCACTCAGGGAACTGAGGCAGGAGGATTGCCATGAGTTTGAGGCATGTGGAGTTCCAGGCCTGAGTGTGGAGGAATAAAGAGCTACCACAGCGTGGGGAATTAGCGGTGATCCTGGCTTTCTGATACGGTAATGCTGGGAAATAATATCAAATATAGACCAAGAAGTTACCAAAAAGGTTCACAGAATCAAACTAGATTGCATATGTGGATGAACGTCTCAAAGAATGAATAAAAATTGAAAAACAAGTCTTGAACAGTTACCATGTGTGCTGGGCATCGCAATAAGCCCTTTAATTAAAAAGGTGAGAGTGACTGGGGAAGCAGAATGGTGGCCTAGGGGTCAGCAGTAGAATGCCTGTCTAGAATGCCTAAAGAGGGCTGGGGGTGGCTCAGTGGAGAGCCCCTGCCTAGAATCCCCCAGTGAGGGGCTGGGGTGTGGCTCAGGGGTGGAGCCCCTGCCCAGACTCCCCCAGTGAGGGGCTGAGAGAGTACTTAATGCTTAATGTAGGGCACACAGCAAGCATGACTGAGCCCTGGGTTCCATCCGCAACATCATTGTGCTCCAGAAAGAGAGAGGAACCAATGGAAACCAGGAGTGACATTCACCGATGCCAGATTGCCAGCAGTGGAACGTTTCAGTGGCCGGTATGTGCAGCTGCAGAGACAGATCTTTAAAACCGTGTGACTCAAGGAAGCCATAAACATGGCAACACAATTGTAACTTCTGAGACAGACTAAACTAACCCACAGTGTGAGGAGGAGAATGGGGAAGGCTTCCCTCTAGGAGAGACTTGTCCTGGAAGCTGCCTCTCCCGAGAAGTCGGCCTTGAGTGTGCGGGACAGCTGCTGAGCTGTGTTTAGGCTCGGTCACTGGCTGTCGATCATCCTTTGAAAGGACCCCCTGGAGGCCGAGCCTGGGCGGGGCACAGTCCTATACTCTCAGCACGCCCACCTGGGTCTGCGCTGCATGGAAAGCCTGTGCGAAGGAGGGGGGGCGAGATGGCTCAGCACGTAAGGACGATTGTCTCAAAGCCTGAAGCCCTGAGCCAGATCCCTGGGACCCACGTGGTGGAAAGAGGACCGGTCTGCACCCCAACATATCCACTAAATAACTAGCCAACTAATGAGAGAGAAAGAGAACACGGGCCCCACACAGGGAGCCTCTAGAGAGATCAAGAGTAAGAATAAGAACGAGAGAGAGAGAGAGAGAGAGAGTGATGCTCATGCTTAGCATCACAGACTCAGAAATCAAGAAGCTGGGACAGTAGGATTCCAGAGTTCAAAGCCAGCCTAGGCTACACAGTGACGCCCTGTCTTAAGCTCCTTTCCGGACGTGACAAAGGGAGCAGGAGATGCGGGCGGCTGGGCAGTTCCGAAGGTGAGAAGCAGTCTGGTCGCTTGCCATGGCAGAGCCCACCAGAGTGCGAAGCCTGAGTGGGATGGGCATGGGACAGGCGTGGGCAGGGGGATCCAGCATTCATCCTGTTTCTTATGGAACTTGAGGCCAGCCCGGGCTGGATGAGACCCTGACTCGGGGTGGGGAGAGGAAGGAGGAACCAGCCGGTGACTGTGGAGCCAGGGCTAAGGAAGGAGCCACGGGCTGCACTGGACATGACCTCACAGAGCCCTGACCTGGGCCGGGCCAGCTGTGACCATGAAGGAGCTCTGCAAGGGCAAGAGCACCCCAAGGCCGCCCCGAGCACGGGAACAAACAAGGTCATTACCCAACCACTGTGTGAGCTGAACCCCCGCATCCTGGTGAGCAGCAGCTCAGGCAAGTGTTACTGTAGGTAAAACCTGGGTTTGCTCTTTCCGCCCCACAAATCAGAGTTACAAAGAGCCTGACGCTGCCCTTGCTCTGTGACAGGATCCAGTGCAGAGCAAAACCCCACTTCCTGGAACTGTCCCCAAGCCAGCACACAGGAGTCCTTATGTTTACAAAGGTCTCTCTAGCCTGGAGGGGTCAGCCAGAATCTCAGCACTCGGTAGATGTGAGTTCAAGGCCTTCATCAGCTTTATAGCAAGTTCTAGGTCAGCCTGCGCTACATGAGACACTGGGGGTGGGGGGGAGAGAAGAAGCAGCCAAAACATTTTAAGAGGCCGGATTAGCAAGAATTACTGATGAATCAAATGGGAGGGAAGCCTAAATAAAGGTGTGGTTCAATTTCACATGGCTCAGCAAGACAGTGCTGGCCTAGAACCCCCCAGTAGTGAGGGGCTGGGTGTGGCTCAGCAGGACAGTGCTGGCCTAGAACCCCCCAGTGAGGGGCTGGAGTGTGGCTCAGTGGTAGAGCCCCTGCCTAGGATCCCCCAGTGAGGGGCTGGGGTGTGGCTCAGTGGAAGAGCCCCTGCCTAGAATCCCCCAGTGAGGGGCTGGGGTGGCTCAGGGGTAGAGCCCCTGCCTAGAATCCCCCAGTGAGGGGCTGGGGTGGCTCAGGGGTAGAGCCCCTGCCTAGACTCCCCCAGT